CTGATCCAACGCCAGCGCAGCCGTAGCAGGCTGCTCAATGCTGTCTTATCATCAGTCGTTACCGTCGCTAGACATACGGTTCGCCAGACTACCAACCTGGTTACTACAAGACTGTCGTGTCGGAGTTGAAGAGCTCCGTTGGATGGGTTACGAGCGAACTCTCCAACCAAGTGAGCGTGGGTGCTCTTCCGCATGCGGCATATGTGCTCCCATCATGCTTCGCTTGCATGCCATGACTTGTCCAGAGCACCATCGAAGATCAAGGGAAGGTAGTTAGATGGGGCGATTTGCTTTACAGACTGAAATTATTGCGTTATTGCATGGGTTGGTCCCGCGGACCAGCCAGGCTATGGTCCGACTTGAGAAATGACTCGTCTTCCAGATGACCAAAGGCTTTGAGCTTCTGGGTCGGAGGTGAGTCGAGGCTCAACGTTTTATGCCTAGTCTGGCAGATCTACTTGACTTTATAGATTTAACAAGGAGTTATGCGTATGACCACAGGCCTCATAGTTGCCGTGATTTTAAGCCATGTTTCTACAGGATGCTTTCCTCCTATGCACGACAAGATGCTCCACCCGGCTGCACTTACCTTGCTCAATTCGGAACTTTACGTGTCGGTGCAATTGTTAGCGCGGAGCTTGCTGCCCCTCGTTGTCCGAAACCCTGCCCCACATTCAGCACTTTCACTCCATTACGACACCAACAACGTCTTTTACCACACACAACAAACACAATGCCTGGAAACTACGAACTATTCTGCCTCGAGAACCCGCTTCTGGACATCCAGGGTGTCGGGTAAGTCTATTGTCCTTTAGCTAGAGTCGCAATGCTTTGCAGCAATTGCGGAGGAGCACCACAGTGAGCTTTTGCTAATAGCTAGCAGTGACCAGGCTCTCCTCGACAAGTATGGCTTGAAGGCCAACGATGCGATCCTCGCCGACCCCGAGAAGCACATGGGCCTGTACGAGGACCTTCTCCAGAACTACAACGCCGTCCTGATCGCTGGTGGTGCCGCCCAGAACACTGCCCGTGGTGCGGCTTACATCCTCGAGCCCAACTCGGTCGTATACGTTGGCTGCATCGGCAAGGACAAGTACGGCGAGACTCTCGAGAAGATCTCAGCCGATGCTGGTGTCAAGACCGAGTACCTCTACGATGAGAAGACTCCCACTGGTCGCTGCGGTGTTGTCATTACCGGCCACAACCGCTCCATGTGCACCGACCTTGCCGCTGCCAACAACTACAAGATCGACCACTTGAAGGAGGAGCGCATCTGGAAGCAGGTCGAGAACGCCAAGGTCTACTACGTTGGTGGCTTCCACTTGACCGTCTGTGTCCCAGCCGTCAAGGCCCTGGCTGAGCACGCTGCTGCCAAGGACAAGGTATGAAGACCATGGGTGTGTTGAGAAAAGATCAATGTGCTAACAGCTTTCTAGCAATTCATCCTCAACCTTTCCGCCCCCTTCATCTCGCAATTCTTCAAGGACCCTCTCAACGAGGTCCTCCCTTACGTCGACATCGTCATCGGCAACGAGACCGAGGCCGCCGCATTCGCCGAGGCACAGGGCTGGGAGACCAAGGACGTCAAGGAGATTGCTAAGAAGCTGGCCAACACACCCAAGCAGAACAGCAAGCGACCCAGAACTGTCGTTTTCACACAAGGCACCGACCCAACCATTGCCGTAACCGCAAAGGAGGGCGGTGACGCTGATGTCAAGGAGTTCTCCGTACACGCTATCAAGGAGGAGCAGATCAACGACACCAACGGTGCCGGCGACGCGTTCGCCGGTGGTTTCGTCGCTGGTATTGTCCAGGGCAAGCCGCTCGACAAGGCCATCGACATGGGTCAATGGCTTGCCAAGCTCAGCATCCAGGAGCTGGGCCCTTCATACCCCCAGCCCAAGCAAACTTACAGCAGCTAAGCGTCTTCACACTGAGTGAGCGCTGAAGCTCGTGTATTTCAACAATCTACGAGGGCATGCCATCGTGAGCAGGTTCGTGCTTGCCTTACCTAGCGACCGCACATCGATGTGCGCAGCTAGGTATAGGCTGCGTCGAGGCATCATGAAGGTGTTTCTGGCGTAAGACAAAAGTAGAATCTGGCCTTTCAACAGCCGGAGATAGATACCCTCAGCTTTGATGCTGCTAAATGAATGAACAAATGAACGAATCAAGACAATAGGTATTCCATTGATCCTACGTTACGCTCTTACCACATGCTACTGGTCGTCGCGTCGTCCAAGTAGTAAAACCTACAACTAGTATACCTTGAACTCCGCAATCCTAACCTTCATCCCCATCTTGGGCGTGAAAACCACCCTAACCTTCTGTCCCTCAACCTCCTTCCACTCCGCTTCCGTAATCCCATTCGCAACAACATCACCATAGGCCGCATCCTCTGCATCTGTCCACTGCGCACCGCCCCCAGCAGGCACCTGGATCTTATAGCTGTCCGGCTCCGCAAACCCTTGTTCCTCGTTCGCAAAGAACGCAAGCTCAGCACTACTCGTAGTAACGGATTTGCCAAAGTCGATCTGGAACCAGATGGAAGATCCATTGCCGATAGGTGTATCCCACCCGTTCTTCGCGTCTGGCTCGGTGTAGAACCAGATCCGGCCGTCGATCGCGGGGTATGTAGCTGCATTGCTGGAGTTACCCACTGAAGCTGAAGCACGCGGGTAGGGGGTTGTGGAGTTGAGCTGAACAGACTTTGCAATCTTGCGCGTGATAGCCGGTGGCGCTTTCCTCTCCAACTCCACCGTCACACGGCTGAGACTGGGACTTGACGCAACGACTTTCCCGTCGACTTCCACGGTTAGACCCGTGCTGTTGCCGCCGCCGTAGTGGCTACCATCTTTGTCCCATTGAACGGCGATTTCACGGCCGTGGTAGATGATGCGTTCGGCGCGGAAATACGTTAATTGGGTGGCGGAGGCCAGGGGGGCTACTTCCAGTACGTCGTCGGAGCGAGGTCGTATGCCAACGAGACCAGACAGAACGAGGTCGTTGAACCCGGAGTGGAAGTAGTGGTGCGAGCGCTTGAGTCCTACGATGGGCAGACCGGTGTCGGGGTAGTAGTCTTCTTCTAGATCTAAGATGCCTGTAGAGGGGTTCCGGTGTAACTTTGCGTATTGACGGAGGAGGTTCGTGTAGTCATCGCTGTTGATCACACCAGCCTCCTTGCCGTTTTCGTAGTGGTCGAGAAAGTTGGCGAGACCGGACAGGACTTGTGTCATTTGAAACGGCCACACGGGGCCATTCCACTGACACTCTGGGTTGGGGCCTTCGTACCGGTACTGCCGCATGTAGTACTCGTAACTTGGTTCTACAGTCCGTAGACCGGCTTCTCCGCGTAGTTTTTCGGCGTCGAGGATGTGAGCCCAGGCTTGCGCGTAGTCTGCGTTATCGTCGGGTAGGTCGTGGGTCCAGGGGACCATGCCGACGAGTTCGCGGCCGCGGATGGGGTCCCAATATGTGACGTTTTCGTTGTTGACTTGGTAGCGGTCGATAAAGTGGGCGAAGGTTGTGTTCCAGAGAGCTTCCTGGACGCGGTTTTTCAGTGCTTCGGCGCGGGTGGTGTATGTATCAACGGTGCTGTTCATGGACCCGGCTAGAGACGCCATGTTAGCGATAGCAAGCGCGTTGGCATATTGATAGCTGTTTATACTGGGCCGGAAGGAGTCGCCGCCGAAGAAACCGTCGTAGCCGCCTGACGAGTCGATGGATGAGATTGTGTATTCCGTTGCGTCGCGGATGGGTTCCACGTAGTAGAGCCCCTTTGACGTGTCGAAGGAATCGTCCCAGGCGTCGTATACGCGTGTCATATCGGAGAGGCGCTTGATAGCGTCTTCTTTTACGCCGTCGACGAGGTAGCCTGCCCAGACTGCTGCGGCCATGCTCTCGGAGAATTGGCGACTGTTGCTGTCGGCGCTGTACATGAAGGTCGCGTAGTCTTCTTTGAAGCGGCGGTCGCGACACCATCGCCCTTCCAGCAGGTGGAAGCCTGTTGCATCGTTTAGACTTGCGAAGGGCTTCGTCTGCCATCCGACGTCGTCAAGGAATTCTGTGGAAATGTAGCCGTAGGCGCCGAGATCGCGTTGATGGGCGCGGAAGATGGACCAGCGGTAGTAGTACACGTCGGTGATGTCCTGGTCGCTCGACTCGAAAAGAGGAATGCGGTCGCGGTACCATGCTGCGTCGTTGCCGTAGTGCTTGTGTACTATAGCGTCGACATCGAGGAGTGCGTAGCCCAGCTGGAACAGAGGGATGAAAGCAAGTGAGCTGTAGAGCTTCATGATGGGCAGATAGAATCTATCGTTAGAGAATACCTAAACACTACCATGCCTTTCCCATGTAGCGATCCCCTTCTTTTACATATGTACTCCTCTTGCGATTAAGTTTACCAAGCTACGCCTGATCCGAATGCGAGCATCCTCGTCACCATCATTCTTCCAGCTTCTCCAGATTTACATTCGTGACGTGCGCCGTGCATACTGCTAGCGCCGTGCCATTAGTCGCTCTCGCAACCGCGGAGTATTTCTGTAAAAAGCATAGAGCTTCGCGTGCTCTCGTATCTGGCCATCGCGAATCAACCGACGGCGCCTTTCCGAGCCAGGATCCATATGAGGAGCCCCACTTCTTCCCCGCGATCTGTGAGATCATCACGGAGAGAATTTCTCCGTCGCAACGTTACACAAGATTTAAGTCTGGTTGTATAGAGATTTTTATGCAGACTTCAGCCGGTGCCGCGGTTGTTGTTCGTGTTCGTGGGGTGAAGATCAAAGTAGCAGACCAGGCTCACGGCGTCTGGGGTAAAAACTGGGTTCTGCGATTCACGACCGTGCGCTAATGTGCTCAACTTCAATTGTTGCTCAGTCAGAACGCTAAGATGAGAAGATTGAATTAGATCATATCCAGCTAGCCATTGCAGTTATACGTGCATCCCGTGAAATCATTATTCGTATACGTTGATCATCAAAGTCCATCATACCATCAAGAAATCAGTATGGTGTGTTGCCCTTCCTGATGGCCTCCCAATCCGTAGTGCTCTGACCCGGTGCCGGACCAGAATGTTCGTGGACACCATGAATGGCAGGGTTACCGTCAGTTCCGCCAGCACCGGTGCCGAAGCGCCCGGTGTTCATGGGCAGACCAGTGTGTGGCTCAGTGACCGTGTTGTCGCGTTCTAGATCCGAGATGGGATGCGCACCGTAGACGCCATGCTGAGTTTCGCTGTATGTATGTTAGAAGTGACTAACGTTGTCAACTCTGAGCATGAGCTTACCGATCACCCGAGATCATGGTTGGGTTGCCAATGGGACCATCAACACCCATGTGCTCCCTCTTTCCTACCGAACCAGTCGATTCGGTCATCTGCTGGTGCTCCATAGCTTCACGGGCGGGGTGGCCCTTCGGTGGGTCCTTGTGAAGAAGGTGCTTGCCCTTCCAGCGTGGTGAGTCGGGATGATCATCGCCATAATCTCTGGAGTGTCTAGGACTGTAGTCGCGAGACTGGCGCGGTGAGGACTCAGGACTAGCAGTCGACTTTTCTTTCTTGGACTTATCACGGTGCAGGAATCCAAGAAGGCCGTGCTTCTTCTTCTCCTCGCCTTCGTTCTCCTTCTCAAGCTCCTTCTCACGGTGATGTTGCTCCTTGACCAGACGCGCTTGCTCCTTTTCGTGTTCCTTAGCCAGACGATGCTCGTCTTTCTCGTGTGCTGCGACGGCCTTGTCGTGTTTGTGCACTTCTTTGTCATGCTTGTGCTGTTCTTTGTCGAGTCTATGCTGCTCCTTCTCGCGATCATGTGCAATCTTCTTCAGACGCTCTTCCGCTTCGCGTTCGTCTTGGTTCTGAGAGTTGATGTAAGCTGCACCACCTAGGCCCGCTGCACCTGCGGCGCCACCGATAAGAGCGGCGTTACGCTTGTCGTGGCTATCGTTCACGGGAACTGCGCCAGGTCCCCAGGGTTGAGATGACATTTCCTGGGTATGCGTGTTGTGTGGTGCGATGGTACCTGAGGTTGGGTACGATGCGCCTGTGGTAGTCTCGTGCATGGGATAGGAAGACTGTGCCATACCTTGCGTTGGGTACGCGGTTTGACCAGACGAAGTAAGATCTTGCTTCTGTCGAAGTGGAAGTTGAGTAGTGTTGTCGTCATGCTTGGATGCTGCGTAAGCTCCTGCTCCCAATCCAGCAGCTGCAAGACCTGCTCCTCCAAGCGCAGCATTCCTGTTGATGTGGTCGTTGGGGTCAGTGCGGTTGACATTGCTTTGCGTAGTGGGGTCGTTGTAGTTGTATTGACTTGTTGGAGAAACTGGGTTGGTCGCTCGTGCGCCGGCAGCCGTGGGATCGTATCTCTGGTCTGGCATGGAAGCGGCAGGCTGAGTCATCTTGTGGTCGCCGTACGCATTGATAGCGTCTTGTGCTCGCTGTGTCATACTATGGTTACCATACGCAGTGCCAGCTTCGTATGCTTCAGGCTGTGTCATCTTGTGATCGCCGTACGCATTGCCAGCTTGGTATGCACCGTAACCGGCGGCGCCTGCACCTCCAACCAACGCAGCATCCCGACCATAGTGATGCTCACTCTGCTGGCCAGCTTTCTCGTCAACCTTGGGGTCCAGGCGGTTCAACGTGTCTGACTGATGCGGTCCAACTGTAGTGTGCTCCTTTTGCTTGGATGGATCAGGCTTAACTCTTGGGTCGACAATATTGGCAATGTTGCTACTGTGAGGGCCGATCGTGCGCGAAGCAGGGTCCTCAGCTGTTGGTCCAACGTTGTGGTGTATCTGTTTGCTTGGCTCTGGCTGAACCCTAGGATCCACGATGTTAGCAGCGTTGCTGGAGTGAGGTCCGATAGTGCTTGAAGCTGGGCCGCTGTCGGTGTTGTCACGGTTTGCAGCATAAAGACCACCGGCAGCAGCAGCGCCAGCTCCGGCGAGGCCAGCATCGCGACCGTAGTGATGCTCAGGATGTCTTTCAGGAACTGCGCTGGCGGTAGATGTCTGACATAGACCACTTGATGGTTGTTGTGAACTCGTATCTGGAATTGGTGCAGGGGCTCCTGTGGCACCGTAGAAGTGATCATTCGCAACGGGTTGAGAGGCAGAGGTACTCGCAGTGGTGAGCGGCTTAGAGAAGTTTGAGGTTGGCTGAGGGGCAGCAACATTCGATCCTGTGGCAGAAGCGTAAGATGAGTTTTCGGGAATCGCAGAGGTAGTAGTGGTAGGAGTATCATTCTGCTGAAGGATGTGGTGCATTCCAGCGGCTCCTACAGCACCTGTACTTAATACTGCAGCATCACGGCCGTAATTATGCTGTGAGTCTGTAGTCTCGGACGGGTTGTGTGAGATAGGAGGGCCAGAAACAGCTGAACCACTGGTAGGAGCCGTCTCAGTTTTGGCCAGTGGATCGAACCTCTGCTCATCGAATCTCTGTTCCTCTGGCTTAGAAGCGCCTAAAACACGAGGGTCGAGCATTTTGCTACTGTACGGGCTAGACTCTTCGTACAACGGCTGGCTACCAGCAACGTCCTGGGTGTCGTGGGTCTTCGAAGCTGCATGCGCACCTAAGCCCGCTGCGCCAGCACCGAGTCCTCCAACAATGGCAGCATCGCGAGCGTAGTGGTGATCATCTGCGGACTTTGACTGAGGCTCTCCTAGTGTCCCGGTGTGTCTCAGCTCATGAGATTCGCTTGTAGATGTGGGGTCGATGCTCGAAGGCTGGACGTGAGATGGGTCCAATGTAGACGTAGGCTCCGCGGCCGCAATTGGTGCGCTTGTGTCTGTGGAGGAGGATTGAATAACAGGGGCGTAGTTGAGGAAAGTCTTCTCGTCGCTGGGTGTAGCAATGTATTCGCCAGGAATATGCCTATGTGACTCAAGTCGGGGATTTACTGGGCGGTCACCAGTGCTCGACATTCCAGTCATCGGAGCTCCAGCGATAGGCTGAAGAGCTTCTGCCGCGTTGACATCCCGGGCTCCGTCCTCATTCCCCTGGGTAGATGCGGGAAGAGCGGAAGGATTCGAAGCGGCTGCAGTGGTGGCCGCCGCAGTTGCAGCTGCCAAAGCTTCGGGATGGTGACTAGACGTCATCTGGCTCGAAACATTGCCTGTCTGAGGAGTTCCCGTGGTGTCACCCGGTGCAACATGTCTATATGAAAGCTGGCGAGTATGGAGACCTCGGTTCCGAGCACCCTGTGCCTCTGGCTGCCTCTCTGGCTGTGAGTGTGCCTGAGAAGCGCCAATGGCAGTAGCGGCGGCGGCTGCTCCAGCCAGCCCTTCCCTTCCATAACTGTCGTGAGAGGGGCTGTCATGAACACCGACTGCCCTCTCTGTTGTGCCAGAGTCGAGTTCGCTGATACCTTTGTTCTGGAGAGGGGAGGTGTGCCCAGTCGGGTATTGCGTGGATGTCGGATCTTGGTGAGGTTTTGAGATGACACCGCCAGCGAGAGGGAACGATCGATCAGTATCAGCGGTGTAGCTCTCTTGTCGCAGAGTGTTCTCATATGGTTGGGTTTCTCTCGCGTAGGCAGGAGTAGCGCCTATTGAGTCACCACCGATGGCACTGGATTCTGCATTCTGGTCAGGTATTGCGCATTGGATAGTAGATTTGAACTACGTACGAGGATATGTCTGGCCTGGGTTAACGCCTGTTCCTTCGGTCATTCCTGCTCCCTTGGTCATTCCGGCAGTTCCATGATCTCCGCCTCCAACTACTTGGTCTTGACCCAGATACTCCTGAGTGGGGTTGTGTGTCGACATGGCAGCATGTCCCTGGTTGGCTCCCGGACCAAATCCAATGACGCCGCTCTTGATGCTCGCGACGCTCGGGTCTGCGGTGTGACCATGGGGGTAGGCATCGGGACGTTGAGCTCCTCCAGCAGTCGCGGTTCCGCTTTGGATAGGCTGCGAGGTGTTGGAGTAATCTTGCGTCCGAATTGGGTCATGAGCTCCGGTCGCAGCTGCCGTCGTCCCAATAGGACCATCGGTACCAACATGTGTGGGTGTTCCATGCGCACCACTTCCGTGAAGGCCTGCTGAGCCGCTTCCGTGAGCCAAGTCTGTGTATGGAGCGCCACTGGTTGTCTTTATATTGTACATTGGCTCTCCTGGAGTGTTATTCCGTGCCTTGCGCTCGGATGTATGGCTGTCGTAGATTGGGTGTTCCTGGCTGGGATTGATATTAGTGTGGGCTGCAATCAAGGCGATGTTAGCACATACCCCTCAGCAGTGGAAGAGGATGTAGGCGCATCGTGGGCAACCGTGTCATCCTTCTTGTGTCCGTGAAGGACGCTCTTGATCTTCTCCATGGTGTTGCTGTTTGCCTAGGTAGCTAGGATGCAATGCAGCGGAAGGATGAGCTTGGAAGGCTCTAGTTGTAGTCAAGGATCAGGTCAAGCGCGGGACTAGAGTAGCAGAAAGCAGGGCACAGCTCGTGAGGTCCACGGCGTGCTGGCGTTTGTTGTAGCTACCTAGCTCGACGCCGATGAGGTCATGCAGAGGGGTTGGCGGCAGGAGCTAGACCCCCACCTTCCAATGGCATGGCTAGCTACCGCGTTCCAGCCACAAACAGACACGCCTCATGCCCATTGCAGCGGTTCGAGCTGTCGCTGGTGCAGGTGGGTGCAGGTGAAGGTGTACATGGAGCCAAAGCAAGTTGTTTGACATGCGGGGCAGCGTCATCCTGGTATGCGATCACTCGATTCGAGGTCGGAGGCCGTCGGCGGATCCTCGGCAAACATCGTCTGTCGTGACTTGAAGGATGAGTAACCTTGAAGGTGAATGGCAGTGCTACCTGATGGTATAGAGTGACGGATATGCACGCTGTAGATATGATACGCCCACACGTTCAATCTCGTTGCGTTGTGGCATACAAATATAGAGATGACTTCACCGATCCGTCCCACACGTATCTACCCCACACAGTTGCGCAATTTCCGAGCACCTGACCAAGACGTATTGAGGTAGGCCGAATGCAGGCACGCGGCAACTGAATCTGAATGGGCCTGGTCTGTGGTGGGACGTCAGATCTTGACAGAAGTTTGCATAGTCCAAACCACCTGGGCAGTGTCTAGCTAAACCCCGGGTTGCATGAGTCCAGGCGTATTCGAACAGCCTCGAATACGCTGCTATGAGGCTCGGCGTGCACCTCAACGCACCATCCCAATACCAACCACCTTCCGCACCTGCGTGCCACTATCCGACAGTCAGCGAATGAGGCCCATGGTGCGCGAATTAACGATAGTGGCAAGCCATGGATGCGACTCCCAACGGCAGTTCACCCTCCATCAGCCTAGCGCTCACCCACGCGCAGTCTGGCCCACCTTTTGCTGCACTGGGCTGTCGCTAGCTGGTGCTCGGCCGACCGCAACCCAGTCGCTTCACGCCGCCGTCTGCTGCGCTTTTCGCGCCTGCTTCCATTCTAGAAAACTTCTACCGCCAGGCATGCATGCAGCAATAGTGTCGCGCAGTGGGAGCAGTTGACCCCCCCTTCGCGACTCGGCTCAGCGTCGTAGCGAGCCTCCGTCACCCCCAAGCCTACGCCCAACAGCGCCGTATTGAGTGCAGGCCGCTTCTCCGCGTTTTCTTCTAGCCTTGCAGTGCGTTTCATCCGCTGCAGCTGTCACCATATCATCCAACCCTCCCTCTTCCCCAGTGCACCGCGCCCGACCTCTGGAGCGTCCCACCGCAGTTTCGGATACTCCATCTTTTGCCCAGCACCCGACCAGGGCAAGGATAGCACCAGCGTCTGTGCTCCGCCGACCCACTCCCTAATCAGCCTCACCCTGCTGCCGACATCATACCGGACCATCCTTCCGAGTGCCTCTGCGCTTGTTCTTCAACAACGCTTTTGCACTCCCAGCATTCACACAACACTCACACTCTACCTTAATCACCCTCGCAGCTCCGTACCGGCCACTACCCATCCGCTCTGTTATTCTTCGCCCACAATGCCTGGCCATCTTCGCACTCGCTTAAAGCGCGTCCTCACTGCTGGCTCACACAAGAATGCAAAACCAGAGGAGCCCGAGTCGGATTTCTACAAGCCTGGCGAGAAGATGCCTCCCCTCAAGTACCGTCGCGCCGTCGACCCCGAACACAAGAAAAAGCTCGAGGCTTTCAGCTTTTCGACTGCATGGCGCCGCCACAGCAACGCCTCACTATACTCACCCATGGGTAGCAGGCTACCGAGCCGCAGGAGCAGCTTTAGGAGACGCAGCCGCAGCCGTAGTATGCACCGAAGTCGGAGAGGAAGCTGCTCTTCGGACTACGATGCTGAAGAGTGGGTAGACAGCGGCATCGGAGCGAGCATCGCCGGTGACGACAGGCCGGCAAACATCAAAGAAGCGTCCGATGACGAAGGAGATGTGCTCAATGGTGTGTTTGACTATGTTTGCATATAATCGCTGCGTTACTGACATGCCTAGTGGGCCTCTCCCGTAATCCAACCGAAGACCCTCGCGACGCCCGCCGGAAACAATCACAAGGCGCTCGCCGCTCCAGCTCCGTCCAACAGCCTTCGAGACCCGCCACTGGCTCAGACCGCACCCGCAACCCTTCGCAACCTTTCTCGCCAGAAGAGCTCGAGATCGCACTACAAAGGTCGCACCTCGAGGCTACAAAAGAGGAGTCGGACAAGAGTGCCAGCGAGAGTCCCTTCGAGGACTTTGACGACCCAAGCCCTTTCCTGAGGCCGCGTGGTGGATCCATCTACGTACCATACAACGGCCAAGGCACGCCTCCAAAGCTGCCCTTCTGGGGCACTGCATACCCCTCGTGCGACGACGCGCCGTCCAGAGGCCATTTCTCGAGACGGGCATCGGTTTTCCTAGAAAATGAAGACGGCTCTTGCACACCGCAGTACGATCGCCGCGAATCCTTCTTCGTCCCAATGAACGCCCCGGGTCTGACGCAAGCACGTCAGATCTCCGTCTCCGACTCCAGTTCCGCTGAGGACGAGTGCGTATGTCCGCCTCAAGTTGCCGAAGCTCCGCAACGCAAACCCCAGCCCTGCGCTCCTTGTGACGCCATTGCTGCGATCCTCGCAAGGCCTGATTGATTTTTCTCTGCATTAGCGTTCACTTCACACTGTCGATATTCGATGCATTCGGTCTGTACATATTGTCCATTGCATTTCTCGGCGTTACTCCATGTAAGAACCCTCTGATCGGTTCCATGTTTACAAGCCAGGCTTGGCTTTTTCCCTTCACGTTCTGGGCTGGAATGTCTCATAGACTACATCTGACATCGTCAACGGTTTCACTTTCACGTCATCACATAATGAAATTCTTCAAATTCTTCACATCTTCAGTCTTGTTACGTTTGAGCTTCGTCTCGTGTCTGTGCGATCACAGGTGTACTCCTATTACTCCGTAATAATAATTCACGAGTTCACAATACACATGCGATTCAACAATGTCTGAATTGAAGATTATCATGCGTCGGCAGCACGCGCTCAATCACTCAACAGCGACGTGCGGTCTTCGGAGCCGGCCACAGCCACCCACGTGCACCCCAGCAGCCAGCGATCATCACAACCTGCATTGCATGCACCGTCACTCGCTGAGCCTCACTCTGCGCATCCCAGCCACGAAAAGAAGAAATACCCACTCCCCAATAACCATCAAACACGACCGTCTATCTTCGCCCAGAACACGCGTCGCATTGCGTCGTCGCGTTGTTCTTCTCCTTTACCGCTCTAATTGCACAGGTCGTCGTCGCGCGTGCACGGCTCTCCGATCATCTCTGATCAACGATCATTCTTCCTTTTTTCCCTTTTGCTCGTCTCCTCCCACGCGGTGCGGTGGGCCTCAGTGCTCAATACTCCACATTTACACTTATGCATTGCAGCTCAACGCGCGCGTGAAGGTTTGTACGGTACGGGACTCCGGAAGTATTGGCATGTACAGTAACAGGGTCTTGTTAACCGCTTTTTCCTTTTACCTTTTTGCGCTGCCTACGCCCGATGCACGATGCAGACGCGCGCTCGGCCCACTTTGCCCGTTCCTCGTTGTTTTCGTAGGTTCGTGGGGGCGGGCGTTTATTGATAGATGGATTTGCAGCTTGCCTACCTAGGCGTGAGTTGCACGTTATGCTGGATGCGTTGTAGTACAATGTGTTACCCTGGGATACATCTAAACCTATTCTAGATACAAGAAAGCTGTTTCTAGCAACGAACCAGTAGAAAACCTCCCATGGAAGAAACCTTCGATATGCAGATGCATGGAAGATAGTCACGCCATGAGTGCAGTGAAAGAAGTTTGCGCTTTGCCGGCACTTCCGTTGAGGGTGGAAAAGGATTGGGATATACCCTCATCGATTCGCCAGGGAACACTCATCCGACTCACATCCCATCCTACCTACAGTGGCATTCCGCACTGCGGAACTCCCACGCCATCCGATCGCACGATGTCGTCTCGTCTCGTCGCGAGGCGGCACGGCACAGCACAAAGGACGGCTTACCTCTTACGTACAACCGCTTAGTCGTCCCCTCCTGCGCGAGTTCGCGTTTTCCAGGCTAGCGATTCGTCGTGAGCGCGCCACCCCACCCCGCGCTTGTTCCTCTCGGCGGACTGGGCAAGATTTTAGCCTCGTGCGCGCTCATCCTTCTCTCGTCTCGTCTCTCGGCGGCTTTCATGGCGGAATCTGCAAACATTACGTCAGGGTAGCTTGGCTTTGCGTGCGACCCCCCGCTATGGGCAGCCGGGCTACTTGCTTTGCGCGAGGTCGTGAGGTGGAGGCTTTGATCGGCCGTCTGAGTCGTGGTTTTTGGAAGGCGGAAGTTGGGTATCTGCATGTGGGGTTCTTGGGGCAAAGGGATTTGGCTCATGGGATTTATTTTGTTGGGTAGGGCTGTGGCGAGTGAGACTCGGATCGCTCGGAGCAATTGGGGGTAAGCGGTCCGCGGGTGCTGGGAATAAGGGTGGGTGGGATATAAGGATTGGGGATGGGATGGATGCTTGAGTGATGTAAGATCGCTGGTGTGCGTGTGTGTGCCACCGGGAGAATGTGAGCGCAATAGCGTTACATTCCATGGTTGTCACGATGGTTACATGAATGTCGTCGGGTGATCTCTTTGGACTCAAAGGGTGATGTGATGTAATGTCAGACTATGAATGATAACCGGTATGTTTGACTTGCTGTTCTGTAGATGTTGTTGGCTTACTGGTAGATGAGAGACATTGAAACGATGTCTCATGTGTTAACAGCCATTGCTGAACACTTCTTCGTGGGGGACACGGGCTAGCCCACGCTCAACTTGAAGTTTTCTCATAAAAGAACATTGACAGCATATATGGAAGGAAGCGAA